TGGGATTAAAGGTGTATGCCACCACTGCCTGGTGACTGATATGTTTTGTTGTTTCAGTCATCTGCCATCTATTCCTCTGAGATGGGGTTTCTTACTCAATCTGCAGATAAAACTGGTGGCCAGCTAGCCCCAGTGATTCTCCCTTCTCCCGTCTCCACTCTCCACAGCTTGGGAATTACTGGTATGTCCATGCCTGGCTTTTTTACATGACTGCTGGGTTTCTACCTTAGGTCCTCATGTTTTGAGCAAGACCTTTACCCACCAAGCCATCTCCCCAACCTTTCAGTATAACTTAAATTCATGTATTAATTTAGTTTTTAAGGTTTTGAGATAAGGCCTTGCTCTGTAGACCAGACTAACCTAGACCCTGCTTTGTAGACCAATTTGGCCTAGGATTTGTAGCAATCCTCCTGCCTTTGCCTTCTGTGTGCTGGGATTACAGATTTGTACCACTACATCAGACAGGAACAACTTAGAAATTTTTCTAATTAGTTCTATTTATTTTAGTGTTTCTGTGTGTGGGCATAGAAAATGTGTGGACAACTCTTTCAGGACTCAGTCCTTTCCTTCTATATGGGACCTGAGGATTGAACTTTGGGAAGCTTCTGATTAAGCCCCTTTCACATTGGCCCAGAAATAATTTTTAATTCAATCTCTTTGACATTTTGAAATAGGCAAAATTGTGCCTTTTCTCCAAATTGAGGCAATAAAAAAATCAGAAATAGGTAAAAATGTTTACCAGTTATATCTAATAAGGGATTTATATCTAGTTAAAGTAACAAGTAACTAGATTACAAAATGGGCAAAACATATGAATAAATGTTTTTTTTTCCAAAGAAGGTATACAAATGCCTAATAAGCAGAAGATAGATACCAAACATATTCAATCCTCAGAAAAGTGCAAACCCAAATCATAGTTGGTTACTATCACAGCACTCTTGATGGGCACAATTAAAAAGATAGATCATGAGCCTTGGCAAGTATGTGGAGGCATTAGAAACCTTATGCATGGCTGGTGAATTCAAATGTTACAGTGGGCTTGGGGAAACAGTTCAGTTCCTCAAAAGGTTAAATGGGATGGCTATGGATCTAGCAGGTTTTCTGGTTTTATACTCTGCAGTAAGTGCATGTTCACAAAAACATACATTAGTTTCTATAGCAGAATTGGTCATAATAACCAAAAATTGGAAATAATTTAAATACCCATCAGTTAGCAAATTGATAAATAAAATGTGGTTTGTGTCTGCAGTGAAGTAATATTCAATTATTAGGAGTGAATTACTAATAGGTACTGCAGCATGGAATACATGTTAAGTGAAAGAAGTCAGGAAGGGCCACAGACTTGGATTCCATTTGATCTGCCTGCCTCTCTCCTGAATACTGGATTAAAGGCGTATACCACCACTGCCTGGCTAGTTTTAAAACTAGTGTAGTATACACGGCATTAGAAATCATTTAAAAATTTTTGTCATTTATTTATTTATCAAAGCCAGGTCTTACCATGTAACTCATGTAAACCAGGCTTGTTTTGAACTCACAGCTGCAGTCTCCAGTGTGCTGGTATTAAAGGCAAGTACCACCACACCCAGCATCCTTGTATAATTTTTTTAACAAACTTTGAAGTAATATTTGTCTGTGTTCAAAGAAGTACACAGATTATGCATGCTTGGATTTAATAAAATTTTAAGAGGACAACATCCGTGTTATCCCATCTTTATACCCAAATGCTCTAGAAAGCCCAACCAGTGCCTCATTTCTAGTACAATCTATTCACCTATTTTCTTTTTATATATAAATTGTTTCCTTCAGTTAAGTATTCTGTGATGCCTTCCTCTTAATGTTAGGTCTGTGAAAGCCATGCTGTTGTATTTGCAGTAGTTCATTCTCATTACTCAATAGTCTGAACATACTGCACTTGATCAGTTCTGTTGAATTGATTTTGTTTTAGAGCTGTTCCAAGTAGTGCTGCTTTAAGCATATTTGGCCTTTCAGTGTACCTATGTAACACTTGGGTGAAATCCTAGTAGTGGAATTAAGTGGGTTAGAAGCTATCCATATTGCCAAAGAATTGCAGTGCCAATTTGTTCTCCAGAAAGCACAGTGTCACTGGCCTATAATTTTAGCACTTGGTACATGGTATCTGGAGTTCACAAAGTCATTTTTTGGAGAAACTTTCAATTCTAGGCTTGGACTACTCATGACCCTGTCTTAAAAAGATGCAAACAACCTCCCAAAAGCATTGATTTATATCAGTTGTATAGTAATTTATTTATATCAATCCTAGATTGTGAAAGATAAATATTCATTGCCTTAATATCTTTATTCCCTTCTACCTTGATTCTTCAATTATTTTTAGCTCTTCAGTTAGATGTGTTACAGTTTGAAATATTTTAATTATGTATATAAATGTGTGTATAGCTATGTGCATGTGTGGACACTGTTCCTATACGCTGGAGATGAATGATCCCTCTGAAACTAGGTATGGGCTTCTGGGAACGAAACTTAGGTCCTTCAGAAGAAAAGTATACACTTTAACCACTGAGCTATCTCTCCAGGCCTAGAATGTCACAATTGGAAACAACAGGTGGTTTAGTGGGTTAAGGCAATTGCCATTAAGCCTGAAAACAAAAGTTCAATCCCTGGGACCCACAGGTGGAAGGAGAGAACCAACTCCTACAAGTTGTCCTCTAATAACTTGACATATGTATTATGGCATGCTTACATGCATGCACACACAAAAATAAATAAGTATATTAAAAGACTTAAAAATCAGATTCCTGCTCTATCATTAGTTTTTTTTAAATATTTATTTATTATGTATACAATATTCTGTCTGTGTGTATGTCTGCAGGCCAGAAGAGGGCACCAGAGCTCATTACAGATGGTTGTGAGCCACCATGTGGTTGCTGGGAATTGAACTCAGGACCTTTGGAAGAGCAGGCAATGCTCTTAACCACTGAGCCATCTCTCCAGTCCCCCATTAGTTGTTTTTATCATCTTTGCTCAGGCTCAAAATTTTCCTACCTGAGTTTTCTAAGTGTCTGACTCCCATTAGTTGTGTTTTGGTTTGAGCCAGGGTTTTACTTTGTAGCTTGGACTGGCCCAGAACTCATTATACTTTTCAGGCTGGTCTTGAATTTTCTTCAGTTTTCCTGTTTTAACCTTTTATTTGTTTTTACTTTTTTTTTTTCATTTAAAACAAATTTTAGGGGGCTAGAGAGATAGCTCAGTGGTTAAGAGCATTGACTGCTCTTCCAGAGGACCTGAGTTCAATTCCCAGCAACCACATGGTGGCTCACAACCATCTGTAATGAGATCTGGCGCCCTCTTCTGGCCTGCAGGCATACATGGAGGCAGAATGTTGTATACATAATAAATAAATAAAATCTTTAAAAAAAAAAAACAAATTTTATGTCCAATATATTTTGACTATGTTTTTTTCCTTCCCTCAAATTCTTCCCAGGTCTGCTGTCTGCTGTAACATTTTAAGTGCTGGGATTATAGGTGTGAACTACCAAGCTGAGCGGCCATAATTTGAAAAAAGTATTGTTGGTTTTGTTATAGTTGTTTGTTTTCTTTTTTGCTGCTGGTTTTTAAACCCAGGGCCATGCACATTTTAGGTAATCAATCATCCTTCCACTGAGCCACAGTCCTAATTCTATTAATTTTTCAAAGAATCTTTTCTCTTGTAAGAGAACTGTATTAGATACCTTGTATCTCAGTTGTTTTCAGATAGGAAAAAAAAAAAACCCTCTTTTCAACCAGAAGGGAAATGTAGAGTTTACAGTTGTGATATATCATGTGACCAAATAATATTAACAAATAGGATACAGAGAAGACAAGTAAGTAGAGTTAGCCAGGTGTGGTGATACTTACCTATAATCTCAAAATTCAGGCGGCCAGGAGGCAGAAGAATATCAAGTTCTAGGCCAGTCTGAGCTATGTATAGCAAGACCCTGTCTTGAACAAAAATTTTACGAAATAGAATAAGATAAAAAATAATGATTCAAGGGAGAAGAAAACCATAGTAAATGCTTTTCTGGTTTGTTTTTGTATGCATGCCTTCTATATTCATGATAGGGAGAGCCATTTAACATACCAGTCTCAATTTCTATGGTATAACATGAGAGAAGTTTATTACTTACTCACCCAATAGTCTAATTTGTGTTTTCTTTGCAGATGGAGTATCTTTCCTGTATATATATGGCATTTGGGCCAGGCTGCTTTTGTCATCTGGCCCTGCCATCTTATAGCACCTTGGTGACCTCTGTATTCAAGCAGAGTGGGAAAGAGATTGAGATGGAGGACAAAGAACATGTCCTTCTGTGGATAAAAATCTGGTTGCTAAAATGACACAGTCATAGCCTCAGCTACCTTCTGAGAATAAAAATCTCATTGCTGAAGTGACAATCACAGCCTTGACTAAAATGGGAGTCTCAATTAGCTGTCAAAGGGCTGGGAAATGGAGTGTGCTTCTACTGGGTGCTGGCACTTGTCCCTTGGTGCCTACCACTGGGTACTTTGGGAGTTAGTTTTTTGGTAGATAGCCACCTAGCTAGCTAACTGTACTGTCATCTTTTAAGATAACAGCAGGATAGATAACGTTCATCAACTTGGGACAATTTACTGTTTAAGAGATAGTAATTATTTTAACTAGTGAATTTTTTATAGGGAAATAAGTTTAAATTTATTACTGACTGGCATTTTTGCCTCCTTTGGTAGCATATAGTTATGCTTTGTTTTAGCTTTATCTTTTGGAAGTGCTCTGGATGAGACCCAGGGGCTCGTGAAGCAAGGCACTGCTACTGCAGAGCTATACCCCATCTCTGTTTTAACTTTAATAACCTTATGTGTAACAGTTTAGATCATGTCTCAGTGAAGCTTAAAAGCTACCTTATTTACATTCACAAGTCACTAAGTAAAAAAGCTGTCAAGCTATGGCATGCCATTGGTTATAGATATTGATTACATTTAACTATCTTTTCTCCTCTTCCCTCTAGTTTGAGATTGGTACAATGGAAGAAGCTGGAATTTGTGGGTTAGGAGTGAAAGCAGACATGTGTAACTCTCAAGCAAATGATATTCTTCAACACGAAGACTCCAGTTGTGGTGGCACAACTAAGACACATTCACTGGAAGGAGATGAAGACAGTGACTTTATAACAAAGAACAGGAATTTGGTGAGCTCAGCATTCTGTGCACAGGAATCAAGAGAAGAAATTCCTGGACAAGAAGCTCGAACCGGTCCTCCTGATGGCCAGCAAGATTCAGAGTGCAGCAAAAACAAAGAGAAGACCTTAGGTAATAAACTCTAGTCAATAGTTCAATGTTGTTTTCATCTAGTGCTCATTTTATTCACATTGTGTGTGAGACAGGTGACCTGTTGGCGGGCCAGTGAAATGGCTCAGTGCGTAAAAGTACTTGCTGCTAAGCCTGGGAACATGAGTCTGATCCCTGGGACCCACTTTGTCGAAGGAGAGCAGGACTGCTACACATTTCTTCTGTGGCATGCCTGTGTGCATGCACTCTCCCCCTCTCCACACACACACACACACACACACACACACACACACACACTACATCAATTTAAAATAAACACCTCTTGCCTCAGGTGACTCATCTTGTCTGCTGTAGCTCTATGTACAGGAGGTGGAAAGAACAATAGGAAGCTTAGTTCTCTCTATATAATCAAGAATTCTAAAAATATTTTGAGGACAGAATGACAATTGACTTATTTGCATCTTTACTAGGGTGATCAAAGATTGGACATAAAATTTTATAGATAGTATGTTAACTGTACTGCAGAAAATAAGCTCACCAAGTTTCAAAACTTTTTTTCTTTATTCTATATAGCTTGTATTTCAGATCAAGCATGTGATATGCTTAATTTTTATATGTTTTTTTTTTTTTTTTGAGACAAGGTCTTATATAGTTCAGGGTGACTTCAAAATTCTTTTTGCTTTTTTTTTTCTCCCAAGACAGGGTTTCTATGTGTAGCCCATCCTGGAACTCACTCTGTAGACCAGGCTGGCCTCGAACTTTGAGATCTACCTGCCTCTGCCTCCTGTGTGCTGGGATTAAAGGTACACACCACCACCACCTAGCCAACCTCAAACTTCTTATATAACTAAGGCTGACCTTTAAGTTCTGATCCTCTTGACTTAGCTCTCAAGTGCATCAAGGCATGCACTTGATTAAATTGTGTGTTGTATGTTGTGTCATTCTCCCTCACAGCAAGGATTGAACCTGTGGCGTCATGCATGCTAGGCGAGGACTCTACCACTGTGCTAGATCACCATTTTGTGATGTGCTGAATCTCATGAAGAAAATTGAAATCTCCTTTGAGTCTTACCCCTCAGCCTTTTATTTATTTATTTGTTTATTTATTTATTGTTTTGTGTTTTATTTTTGAGACAGGGTCTTACTATGTAGCCCTGCCTGGCCTGGAATTTGCTATGTAGACCAGGTTGGTCTCAAACTTAAAGATAACTACCTCTGTCTCCCAAGTGACAAGTGCTGCAATTAAAAGTTTACCACTATAACTGAAACCCCTCAGGTTTTTATACTTTACATCTTAGATTGATAAGTTGTGGATTTTTTTTTTGCAATTGTAAAGTCTTATAATTCTACTAAATTATTTGATCAAAGTGGCAATGATAATTTTAATAGGAGTGTCAAATTGACCATGCTGAAAACATAACTGCTATGCTAAACACAATATCTAAATATCTACATACATACTTGGAAAATTACCAAATTTTATTTGGTGAACATTCAAGTGGCATCGGGTCTAATTTTCAAAGGCTTGTTTTTTGTTTTGAGACAGGGTCTTCTTTTAGAGCCCTGACTGACCTGAAATCACTACTTAGACTATGCTGGCCTTGAACTCACCTGGGATTAAAGGTTTTTGCCGCTGCACCCAGCTCTCTAGGTGTTGTCTATATGTCAAAATACTTTTCTTTTTGGAAGGGGTTTTCTTTTTTCTTTTGAGACAAGTTCTCATATGTAGCCCAGGCTCGACTTGAACTCGGTGTGTAGTCAAAGAGGACCCTAGCCTTCTAAACATTTTGACTTCACCTCCCTAGTTAGATTAACAGTGTTGTACCACCATGGCTTGCTTGGGTTACCTTTCTTACTAACGTAATCTCCTGCTACTCTTTAAAATGTAAATAGTTGCCAGGCAGTAATGGCACATGCCTTTAATCCCAGTACTTGAGAGGTGGATCTCACAGTTCAAGGCCAGTCTGGAGTGAATTCTAGGACAGGCTCCAAAGCTACACAGAGAAACCCTGTCTTGAAAAACGAAAAAAAAAATGTAAAAAGTTAAGGAATATGAAAAATAGTTTTTGAGACAGAGTTTCTCTGTAGCTTTGGAGCCTTTCTTGGAGCTTTCTTGGAGCCAGGCTGGCCTCAAGCTCACAGATCCGCCTGCCTCTGCCTCCCGAGTGCTGGGATTAAAGGCATGCGCCACCACCGCCCGGCTGAAAAATACTTTTAATTCCCTAAAAATGATACATTTCTTAAATCAGTAGCCAGGGCTAGAGGTAAATGGAGGAACAAGAAGTGACTGCTGTTGGGTATGGTTTGCTTTGTGTGTTAATGAACACTACCCAGTTGGATAGCTGTGACAGTTAGTTGTGCAACCCTGTAAATATACTAAATTGTGTAGTTTTTGTTTACTCTAAATGGTGTATTTTAAAAGTGAATTTTATGTAGGGGAATGGTACATACCTATCATCCCAGCTACTTTAGAGGCTGAGGCAGGAGGATTGTTTGAGCCTAGGAGTTCAAGGTCAAACTGTGTAACATCTCTAAAAACAAAAAAGTTAAAATAAATGAAAACTAAATTATAGTATCCAAATTCTGTTTTGTAAACAAAAGATTCCTAACATTGCAAAACAAAACAAAAACCCTTGAGTTTAAGAATTCTCAATGTTCTTTTATGGTTTGTTTCTTTTTCTTTTTTTGAGACAGGGTTTTCTTGTATAGCCTTGGCTGTCCTGGAACTCTGTAGACCAAGCTGGTCTCAAACTCAGAGATCCGCCTGCCTCTGCCTCGCAACTGCTGGGATTAAAGTTATGCGCCACCACTGCCAGGTTTTCTCATAATGTTCTTATTGAAATGAGTCTTGAGTTTTACTAATAAAATTTCATGTGGCTAGAAAAGTTTCCTCCTTTGGGAGGTGGAAGACAGTGTCTTATTCTATTGGCCTGAAATCTTGGGCTACAGGGGTCTTTCATAGGCTTAAGCCATCACTGTACTCACATTTAAAAGTATTCAATTTTGAAGTCATTCTGCTGTTTTATTTCTATAGCAATCTATATACCAGAGCCATTAAGGCATATACATTGATAAGATAGCTCGGGTGTAAGAGTGAACTTTTTTAAAATGAAAATGGTGCCAGGCAGTGGTAGTGCAGGCCTTTAATCCTAGCACTCAGGAGGCAGAGGCATGCAGATCTTTCTTAGTTCAAGGCCAGCCTAATCTACAAAGAGAGTTCCAGGACAGCCAGAGCTTTTTATTACAAGAAACCCTGACTCAAGAAAAAAAAAGGAAAGGAGGAGGGAGGGAGGGAGGGAGGGAGGGAGGGAGGGAGAGAGAGAGAGAGAGAGAGAGAGAGAGAGAGAGAGAGAGAGAATATCTTGGGGCTGGAGAAATGGCTCATTGCTGTTGCAGAGGATCCAGGTTTGGTTCCCAGCACCCAAATGATGGCTTACAACCATCTGTAACTCCAGTTCCAGGAAATCAGACACCTTGTAGACTCTAGGCATACACAAGGTGTACATACATGCAGGCAACACACACACACAAAATAAAATAAATCTCAAAAAAAGAAAATGGTATTTGTCATCCAGTTTAAGAAATCCCAGAAGCCGCCGGGCGGTGGTGGCGCACGCCTTTAATCCCAGCACTCGGGAGGCAGAGGCAGGTGGATCTCTGTTAGTTCAAGGCCAGCCTGGTCTACAAAGTAAGTTCCAGGACAGGCTCCAAAGCTGCACAGAGAAACCCTGTTTCAAAAAAAAAATTAAAAAAAGTAAAAAGGCCTAATTAGCAGTGTTATTGAGTGTAGACATTTGGCATGGGGATGAATGAAGAATAGAGGAGGGAGAGTCCATTAATTTGGAATGTAAAAGTAGCTCCTTTCCTTGATGAAAATCAAACCTAGGACACAAGTGGTAACTAATTGCCTATATATCCTAAATAGTTTGATTTGGTTTTGGTTTTTTGATACAGGGTTTCACTCTATGGCCCAGGATGGTCTTGAACTTGAGAATCCTCTTGCATGCCACAATTAGCAGTTTGAACCAACATGACCAGCTCAAAATATCTTTCAGAATTGAGCTGGCAAATACTATATTCCTATTTGTAGGTATAAATTATTTTGTTCTGAGATTAGAATATGGGAAGTGTTGGTAGAATTCACAGATTAGATTTGATCGTATTATTCAGGATTTCTTTCTTGTTAATTATTAGGAAAAGAAGTTTTATTGCTGATGCAAGCACTAAACACCCTTTCAACCCCAGAGGAGAAGCTGGCAGCTCTTTGTAAGAAATATGCTGATCTCGTGAGTATTCAGTCAACTGCGAGGGCCATACAAATATAACAGAATATATGTGTGTGCTTGATAGGCTTTTTAAAATATAAGTTTGATGTGTCTTAAAATGTAAAATATTTTATGCAAAAATTGGAAGAGAATCTGATTTGTTGAGGCCTTTTTTTGTTGGTTTCATGATTTTATTTTGTTTTATTTATTTTTTGGTTTTTAGAGACGAGTTCTTGCTATGTAGTATTGGCAGGCCTGGAACTTGCTATGTAGACTGGATTGGTATTAAATAACTCATAGTTGTCAGCCTGCCTCTGCCTTTTCTGCATTGGTATTAAAAAGGTGTGTGCCAGCACACCGAGAGACTTTTTCTAGCACATAGAGAAGACCAAAAGCTGCGGTATAGACAGACCTTTTCCTTTCCTTTGTCTTTAAGGGTCTGGTTTTATTGTGCATCCTAGTCTTCAGCTTCTGGGCTCAAATGATCCTTCTGCCTCAGTCTTTTGAGTAGTTGAAACTACAAGCATATGCTGGCTGGCACAGATTTTCTAAAACTCAGTGTTACTATTATTTAGTGTGTGTGTGTGTGTGTGTGTGTGTGTGTGTGTGTGTGTGTGTGTGTTGCATGCCTGTAATTCCAGGACTTGAGAGGTAGAGGTAGGAGGATTAGGAATTCAGTGTCATAGGGAGTATGAGGCTAGACTGGAATACATACATAAGACCTACTCAAAAAGATTTTTTTTGAAATAGCATTGGTTGTTCTGGAACCTGATATGTAGACTAAGCTGACCTTAGACTCCTCCTTTTATAACCCAGATGTTGAGATAACAAGTGCTAAGGCACTCTCTTTCTTGTGTGAGATACAAATGTGCCAAAGGTCACTGGAAGGACATTGGGTCTTTCCATTTTATTGTCTTGAGATAGGGTCTTTTACTGAAGCTGCTAGTGATCCTCTTGACACACACATACCTTCTCCAAATAACACAGGGTTATAACTGTCTACTTTTTATATGTGTACTGTTTTTTTTTAAGATTTATTTATTATGTGTACAGCATTCCTTCCATGTGTGCCCGCAGGCCAGAAGAGGGCACCAGATCTCATTACAGATGGTTGTGAGCCACCAGGTGGTTGCTGGGAATTGAACTCAGGACCTCTGGAAGAGCAGTCAGTGCTCTTAACCACTGAGCCATTTCTCCAGCCCCTGTACTGGGGTTTTGAACTAATATACTTGCACAAAATGCACTCTTACCCCACTGAGTACTTTTGGGATGAGTTTCTCACAACATGAAAAGCATTATCAAACATGTACAAGCTAGGCTCAGCAGTTCAGAATGTTTACTGCTCTAGCAGATGACGTGGGTTGGATTTTTAGCACCCATGTAGTCCCTCACAATTTCCTGGAACTCCAATTTAGTCAGTTCCAGGAGGTCTGATACCTCTTCTGAGTCTGGTGGGTTCCTGCATGCATGTGGTGCACATACATACACTTGGGCGGGCATGCATACATACACACAAAATTAGGTATTTTTTTACACAAATTGTTTGGGTGTGGTGATACACACTTATAATTCCAGCACTTGGGAGGCTGAGGCCAGAGCATTGCTGTGAGTTTGAGGCCAACCTAGGCTATATGATGAGATTTTGTGTCAAAAAAAAAAAAAAAAAAATGGGCCAGCAAGGTGACTTAGCTGCTAAAGGTACTTACTGCCAAGCCTGATGAGCTGAGTTGGATCCCCAGGACTCACATGGTGGTAGAGAACTGATTCCTACAAGTTATCTTCTAACCTCCACAGGCATGTTGTGGCACATACACACAATAAATAAGTGACTAAATAAAAATTGTAGAAATTGGTCTTACTGAAATTAATATTTTCCTTCCATAAATATCTTAAAGACTGGGGCCTGTTAGCACAGACTTGTAATGCCAGCTATTCAGGATACTAGGGCAAGAACATCACAAGTTCAAGGGTTATATGGGCAACTTAGTGAGACACTGCCTTAAAATAAATCAACAAAAAAGGGCTCAGTGGTCGTGAGGCTGCCCCAGGTTCAATCTGTAGTACCAGAAAAAAAATCAAAGTACCTTAAAAGATGACATTAATAACCTGGAACATTTCCAACAGAGTAAGACTTAATACAAGAATATCTGAACCAGGCTTAAGCCCCTAGCTGCTTGTCCAAAAGATTTAGGGTTAGAGTCCACATGGCAGGTAACAACCTGCTATAATTCCAGTTCCAGGGACTCTGATGCCCTCTTCTGGCCTTTGTAGGTACTGCATAAATATTGTATATGTGCAGCAAAATGCCCATACACATAACATTTTACTAACTATATCTGAAAGGACGCCTAGGACTAAGGATGTATAGCTCAGTGGTAAGGCATTTGTCTTCCATGTCCAAGGTCTTGTATTCAGTCCTTAGCACAGTAAAATAAAAATGAAAAAAAAATGAATACCTACAAATATGAAAGGAAACAACAAAAGAACAGTGGAAAGCAAGGAAAAAGATAACAAAGAGGTATGACATAAAACTAGAAAACCAAGATACAAAGATAACTTAGCCTAATGGGCCATAAAGACATGTAGATGCGTTAACTTCATATAGTGGTCAGAGAGGAAGACCACAATGAAATGCCATTTCCCTCTCTCCCTCTCTTTTCAAGACAGACTTTCACTATTTATCCCTGGCTGGCCTAGAATTCAACAGAGATCTACCTGTGTTTGTCATTGCCTCCTGAATGCTGGAGTTAAAGGAATGTGCTATCGTGCCTGATCCATTTTATGTTTCTAACATGGGAAAAATTAAGACATATAATCTTCATATGACTTAAAGAGAATAGATTTGCATGGTCTCTTGTCTCTTTTCCTACTTGTTTAAGAAATTGTTGTTAATTACTTATTTATGTGTGTTTGCACATTTGTGCACAGAAGCCAGAAGAGGGTTTCAGATCCCTGGAGCTAGGATTATATTATAGGCAGTTTTGACCTTCCTTACATGGGTGTTGGCAATAGAACTAGGATCTTCTGCAAGAGCAATATGTACTCTTAACCACTGAGCCACCTCTCCAGCCCCTGCATGATCTTTTGTACAGTGCTGTTGGGTATACAGATTTGCCAGCCACTCTGAAAACACAGTTTAATAATGCCATATGAATTCAACATCTAGAAGCCAGCACCCTGGAGAATTTCATATATATATATGAAAGAGACACACATAATGACAATATATTATGTAGCTAGTGGGCTAAATCTAACCAAAGCCTGTTTTTTTCTCAACTGTCCACAAGAAAGAATAAGTTTTCAGTCTGTTTAAAGAATACATGATGGCTGGAGTAGTGGTGCATCCCAGCACTCTGCAGGCAGCTGGACCTCTGAGTTTGAGGCCAGCTTGGGGTATATACATAGTGATACCCTGCTCAAAAAGAGAATACATGAAGCGGGGTGGTGGTGGCACACACCTTTAATCCCAGCTCTTGGGATGCAGAGGCAGGCAGATCTTTGTGAGTTCAAGGCCAGCCTGGTCTGCAAAGCGAGTTCCAGGACAGCCATGACTGTTACATAGGGAAACCCTGTCTTGAAAAAAAATTATATATGTGTGTGTGTATGTGTGTATACATGAATACATACACACACACATATATATGAATACATGATAAGCTTTGGAAATTGGAAGTGGCTTGTCATTGGCATTCAGCAGTTCTTATGACTGCCTTCACCCTGTACCTATTTAACCAGAATGGAGCATGTCTGCACTATACACATGTACTGCAAGAAGAAATCAGGATCGCAAAAGAAGAGGAATAAGGAATATAAGCTTATGTGTGGGATGTACTTCTCTGTTGACTCTTTTTTCAGTAACATGTCCCTGCTAGACATGGAACATGGCTTTCTGGCTTTCAAAACTAGCTAGCTGTTAGAATCTCCATCACTATGAAGTTGCCATAAATGCTGCTGACTTGGATGTGGGCTCCATCTGAGCTGTGCTGCACCATGTCTACAGTGTGCTGTATGTGGAGTTGGTCCTGAACAATCCTCTATGCCTGCTGGGACAAACTGCCAAGTGAGCTTTCATTACTGGCTAGATTCTTTTTTCTGCTCTTTGCCCTTCTCTGTTGGAGTCAGCTGAAACACCTACATCACCCCCAGAAGAATCTGTGAATGCCTGAGTCCTTCTTGACTTGTGGCATTATGGTCTCCCGAAATTTTCAACCTGAAGGTCCTCACTTCCTGCCTGTAAGTCATTAGAATGAAACTTACAGGAATCCTTTCCAATTTTATCCCCACCTGACCATGAGAGAAGTGTATATTTTTTTTTAACATGGCAAGGTCTGTGGCCCACAATGCCCCTAACAATTCCTGATCAGTAGGTACATGCCAACAGTATTGTTGAGTTGTAGCAATATAATCCAGAATGTGGCGTCTCAGAATCACCATGTGGCTGCTTAGTGTAAATTAATGGAAATTATTAAAGAAAGCAAAAATATAAGTTCCTCAATCAACAATGAAAAACAAGTGTTTTTGCTTTTTAAAATTTTATTTAGGACTACACAGATGAAATAACATAAAAAGGACAAAAAGGAGTAGTGAACACAGGATTGTGATGGTCCTAGAGTAGAGGTGGTTGACAGTAAGTAGTTCAGTCTGACTCTTCAGCCTCTGAAATTATATTGCCATGCTTAGTCCATAGTAGGGCAACTTTACATATTATATAAAACCAGCAATTCTTCCTGGAAGAATTTCTGTAAAAGTGTTAATATCAGTAAGTAGATAGTTTGGTAGGAATTTTTGGTTAGCTGGTTTGGTCTTTTACAGACATAGTTTTATTTGTCCAAGGGTATTCTGGAACTCTTGTTGCCAAGGATATCCTTGAACTCCTGATCGCCTTGCCCCCATTACCCTCCCAAGTATTGGGATTGCAGGCAAGACCACTATATCTTTCTACAAGGTTTAGTGCATTTTGAAAAGCCACAAGATGGCACTCTTGTTCTTTATGACTGCATTAATTTCTTCAAAGATGTTCA